GCACATGGTGGTGATGGCTGTGGTGGTCAGGCACATGGTGGTGGTGGCTGTGATGGTCAGGCACATGGTGGTGATGGCTGTGGTGGTCAGGCACACGGTGGTGGTGGCTGTGGTGGTCAGGCACACAGTGGTGGTGGCTGTGGTGGTCAGGCACATGGTGGTGGTGGCTGTGGTGGTCAGGCACATGGTGGTGGTGACTGTGGTGGTCAGGCACATGGTGGTGGTGGCTGTGATGGTCAGGCACATGGTGGTGGTGGCTGTGGTGGTCAGGCACACGGTGGTGGTGATGGCTGTGATGGTCAGGCACATGGTGGTGGTGACTGTGGTGGTCAGGTACATGGTGGTGGTTGTAGTGGTCAGGCACACGGTGGTGGTGGCTGTGGTGGTCAGGCACACAGTGGTGGTGGTGATGGCTGTGATGGTCAGGCACATGGTGGTGGTGACTGTGGTGGTCAGGCACATGGTGGTGATGGCTGTGGTGGTCAGGCACACGGTGGTGGTGGTGGCTGTGGTGGTCAGGCACACGGTGGTGGTGATGGCTGTGGTGGTCAGGCACACAGTGGTGGTGGCTGTGGTGGTCAGGCACATGGTGGTGGTGGTGGTGACTGTGGTGGTCAGGCACATGGTGGTGGTGGCTGTGGTGGTCAGGCACACGGTGGTGGTGATGGTGGCTGTGGTGGTCAGGCACACGGTGGTGGTGACTGTGGTGGTCAGGCACATGGTGGTGGTGGCTGTGATGGTCAGGGACATGGTGGTGGTGGCTGTGGTGGTCAGGCACACAGTGGTGGTGGTGGTGACTGTGGTGGTCAGGCACACGGTGGTGATGGCTGTGGTGGTCAGACACACGGTGGTGGTGATGGTGGTCAGGCACACAGTAGTGGTGGTGATGGCTGTGGTGGTCAGGCACACGACTGTGGTGGTCAGGCACACGGTGGTGATGGCTGTGGTGGTCAGACACACGGTGGTGGTGATGGCTGTGGTGGTCAGGCACACGGTGGTGGTGGTGACTATGGTGGTCAGGCACACGGTGGTGGTGGCTGTGGTGGTCAGGCACATGGTGGTGGTGGTGACTATGGTGGTCAGGCACACAGTGGTGGTGACTGTGGTGGTCAGGCACACGGTGGTGGTGGCTGTGGTGGTCAGGCACACGGTGGTGGTGGTGGCTGTGGTGGTCAGGCACACGGTGGTGGTGACTGTGGTGGTCAGGCACACAGTGGTGGTGGTGGTGGCTGTGGTGGTCAGGTACATGGTGGTGGTGGCTGTGGTGGTCAGGCACATGGTGGTGATGACTCTGGTGGTCAGGCACACAGTGGTGGTGGTGGCTGTGGTGGTCAGGCACACGGTGGTGATGGCTATGGTGGTCAGGCACATGGTGGTGGTGGCTGTGATGGTCAGGCACACGGTGGTGGTGGTGATGGCTATGGTGGTCAGGCACATGGTGGTGGTGGCTGTGGTGGTCAGGCACACAGTGGTGGTGGTGATGGCTGTGGTGGTCAGGCACATGGTGGTGGTGGTGGCTGTGGTGGTCAGGCACATGGTGGTGATGGCTATGGTGGTCAGGCACATGGTGGTGGTGGTGGCTGTGGTGGTCAGGCACATGGTGGTGATGGCTATGGTGGTCAGGCACACAGTGGTGGTGGTGATGGCTGTGATGGTCAGGCACATGGTGGTGGTGGCTGTGATGGTCAGGCACACAGTGGTGGTGGCTGTGGTGGTCAGGCACACGGTGGTGGTGGCTGTGGTGGTCAGGCACATGGTGGTGGTGGCGGCTGTGGTGGTCAGGTACATGGTGGTGGTGGCTCTGGTGGTCAGGCACATGGTGGTGGTGGTTGTGGTGGTCAGGCACATGGTGGTGGTGGTGACTGTGGTGGTCAGGTACATGGTGGTGGTTGTAGTGGTCAGGCACATGGTGGTGGTGGCTGTGGTGGTCAGGCACACAGTGGTGGTGGTGGCTGTGGTGGTCAGGCACACGGTGGTGGCTGTGGTGGTCAGGCACATGGTGGTGGTGGCTGTGGTGGTCAGGCACACGGTCTGGTGACTGCAGTGGTCAGGGACACAGTGGGAGTGTCCTTTTCCAAGCCGCTGCCCTCCCCCCAAGTTCCGCAGGTGTGTTCTGGCATGACTCCCATCTGAAGTGGCCAGGTTGGGTGAGCTGAGGCCCATCACCACCACCTACTGCTTTGGCTGACTGCCCACCACTCAGAAGTGCCCAAGGATCAGGACAGTCACTTGTCCCTGGAGATGTCCCCAAAGCTGGTCCACAGGCCCCATCCTGGGCCTCTAAGCCTTTGTGTCTGAGCCCTTTTCTGGGAGACACCCTAGTGGCCAGAGGTGGGGAGGTCCAGAGAGGCCTCTCAGAAGCGCTGTCCTGGTGCTACTATTGGGCGGGCGGTGCAGGGCCTGGGTGCCCCGTGGCTGCTGCGGGTCCTCAGAGGGGCAGTCACGGGAGGGCACAAAGCCTGGGCTGGGGCTGGCAGGGGCCACGGGCCAGGACAAGGGTCCCATGGTTCTCCAGGATTTCTTCAGCCCCATGACTGCCTGGTGTTCCTTGTTTTCCTGATCCCTTGTTGTTCTGACAGAGCCCCCGCTGGGTCACCCATGGGGGCAGACAGACCACACCTGAGCAGAGGTTCCGGCTCACTCCCACCGGCACGGCCTGCCAGGCACGGGGTGACTCGGGGCTGGCACGGAGCTGAGACCTCGCAGAACAGCTCTTCTCGTGGTGGTGCTCTACAGGCGCTGCATGCAGGCCAGGCAGCCGGTGTCAGGTGCTGGCTGCCAGGCAGGAGCGTGTGGCTCGGAAGCAGAGGTCCTCCACCCTTCTCCCTGGACACCACCTTCTACACCTGGCCTTTCTTGTGACCCCCTTCTCCTCTTAAGCACATGTGAAAGGAAGCAAGGGAGAATGGAGCATTCTGAACATTTCTAGAAAATTCAGATAGGCCTGCCTCATGAAACACTACCCCAGTGCCTGTGCGTCCGTCTTGCTGGCCCTGGAGGGAGGGTGGTTTATTCGGTGCATGGCTCAGGTACCCTCCTGAGGATGGAGCCTCCTGACCCCTCCAGAGGGGCCCTCCAGCGGCTGGGAGACAGCAAGGGGTGGCACCTGCAGCGTTAACCTGGCTTTTCTGCCTGGTTTTTGGCAGCCAGGGCCTCTGACTGCAGATGTTCTAACACTTCAGCCATCCCTCCAGCCCTCTTTGCTCTGGTCATACTGTCTCTTCTTGTCCAGGCAGACCTGGCCTGAGATTCTCTTTTTTCCTTTCTGCTGTGGCTGCAGCGACAGGTCTGTGTCACTGCGCCTCTCTGTTGACACGGATCTCTTGAGCTTTTGACACAGGCTGGCCCTGAACAGCAGTCATCCCCTGCCAAGCACTAGGGTTACAAGTGTGAGCCATAAGGCCTGGCCTGCTTCTTTTAAGAGACAGAATCTCAACTCTGCTGCCCAGGCTAGATTTGAACTCCTGGGCTCAAGTGATCCTTCTGTCCCTGCCTCTCAAATCTTTGGAACTCCAGAGCCCCCACAGTGCCCAACGCAGCATGTGGTTTGGGTACTATTAACACAGCTCTGCTGTGCTCAGTGTCCAGCGCCTATCCAACATGGAGGCCCCTTTGTCTCTCTCTCCAGGTGCCCAGAACAGAGTCTTGGCGTCTTGCTGTTGCTGTTTGTTTCAGCCATTTATAAGGGAAGTTATTTCATTTGCATTATTTTTATACTTGTAGCAGACACTTGTAAAATGTTTGTCTTTCATTTTCTTCCTTTCTTTTTTTTTTGGGTCCGGTCATGGGGCCTGAACTCTGGGCCTGGGCGCTGTCCCTCAGCTCTTCAGCTCAAGGCGAGCGCTCTACCGCTTGAGCCACAGCGCCACTTCCCCTTTCTTTTTTGAGATAGGGTCTCACTCAAACTTGAGCTCCTCCTGTCTCAGCCTACTAAATTCTGGAATTACAGGTATAAGCCACCATGTCTGGTAACTCTTAAACTTTTTTAAAAAATTAACTTTATTTATTTTTTGTTTATGTGGTACCAAGGAATGAAACCCAGGGCCTCATGTATGGTAGGCAAGCAGGCTACCACTAAGCCACCTTCCTAGCCAACTCTCAGACTTTTAACAACATAATAGACATACTGTTTAATCTATGCCATACCTGCCCGTGGAAGCACTCCACACCAGCAGAGGCTGGTCTGAGAGAAGAGGGCCAGCTCTTGGGATGAGTCGCAGCCACCCCAACACTAAGCCAAAAATGTGGTTGTGTGCAGACTTCATCAGCGTGATCCGTTTACATTAAGACAACAGCCTGAGCATGTGTCTTCTCTCCTCCACACCCATGCTGTCTTAGACTGACTTCCCATTCTGCTGCTGGGTGTTCCCACTTCTTTCAAACTACATGGATGGCTCACCTTCACATCAGCCCAGGATGGGCTGAACAAAGTCAGAAGCTGAAAGGATGTGGGATCTTTGGCTGTGAGGTAAACAGATCAACCTCATCATCATTCCTGCCCACCCCTGCCCCGGCCTGCTCACTGGCAGGCATGGGGCACTGAGTGGAGATCTTGGGGTACAGGTCATCCATTACTGGAAACCAATGGGGCAGCCTTGATTGTACATCCAGCCACAAAAAACCAGGCTTCTGTAATCTGCCCCTCCAGCAGCTGCCCTGCCAGAGGGTAGAGAGAGCCATCAGGGCTGGGCGACTGGTGAGCTGATTCCTATTCTTTCTTTTCCAGGAACTGTTGCCAATAGTTTGGCATTTCCTTAAAAGCCCTGCATGAGCCAAGGCTCTGGGGTCTCTTCCTAGAACATCAGACGGCCCCAGCATCTGCCTCCGGCACCTACCTATGTCCCGAGGGCCCCCTTGCATGACTGCATGGTGCCCAGCTTTTGGGGAACTCCCAGCCTTTCTGGGAATCAGAGCTGGACCGAAGACACCCTCAGACCTTAAGGACATTAGTGCTTGCTCTGCTCAGAGATGTGTGGGTAAGCGCACCACCAAGAGAGGGCACAGAGATCCTACGGGAGGAGTCCTGGTCCCACTCTTGGCAGGTCCCACTGGGCACTGCTCTGTCTTGGGTAAAATGTCAGTCTCAGAGAGCCACACATGACCCGCAAGTGGTGGATCCAGGTTGTGGCTGCAGCCCTTTGTGGCCCCTGATGGCCTAGGGGACTGGCAACAGGCTACGGACAGGGCGGTCTGACTGACTGCCATGGGACATGCGGCCCTCCAGGAGCGCCCCCTCTGCTCTGCTGGAGAGCTGGCGGGCTAGCTAGGGGGCTCCATGCCTGGCATCCCACATTCCAAGTGGCATACTGGGTCTAGAGGGCCTGTGGCTCCTGATTAACTGCAGGCATGTGAGGAGGGCTCACAAATCTCCTGGGACCCTGCACAGATGGGAAGCTGCTGGCTCTCACCCACCTCTCCCGTCCAGCTGCAGCTCCCAAGAGGGACCCGGACGCTGAATGGCCCTGGCACGTGGACACAGTGAGTGTGAGAGCAGAAAGGCCCAAGCGCAAGGCATGATGGAAAGCTAAACAAAACAAAACCAAAAAAAACCAGGCCTGGAGACCGCAGGAAACAGCAGCACACCGAACCAAAGAGGCTCCTGTGGGAACCAGCGGCAGTGAGACTCAAGCTCCCAGCTCCTCAGGAGGCTGAGACCTGAGGATATCGGTGCAAACCCAGAAAGACCGAAGCCCCAGTCCCATACCTTTTCTCTCTCCACCCCCAAACTTGATGCACATTTCTAAACATATTTATTCCTTATTACTTATCAAACCATGGGTTTTATTTCTATTTTTCAAAGGAAAGCATAGCACATTAGTGAAGCTAGCACTACAGCACAAATGAAGTAAATGCTTCCAATGTTCGGAACCAGAGGTAAGCACTCCCTGGGAAAGGCAACATTTCTCCTGTCTGTGCTAACTCCCAGCAGGCTCCTAGGAGACTGGAGAAGGCTGCAAGTGTTCACCCTTGGCATGTGGGTGAGCATCAAAGCCCTCCCTCTGAGTCTGACTTTTCAACATCATGAAGGTACTTCAAGGATGGCCAGTGTCCTGGGATAACCAGCCACCCCTCCAAGCCCACTGGGTGACGTCAGGTCTTCTGGAAGAGGCTCACCTGGACAGGTGAGGTAAGTCAGCTCACCTGCAGCCCTAGGAAAGCCAGGGCCCCAGAGTCTGGCCTGGTGGAAGCATGTGGAAGTGATGTCCTGAATAAAGCTTTCATTTATTACAGAAAGTTCAAGCATTAACGCTGAGGGAGAGAATAGGACAACAAACCCAGACTCACTACCCCCTAATCTCAAGGGCTACCAATTCTTCCATTACCCCTCTTCTTGCCCTCATACCACCCCATGCTCAGTTAGAGAGCTCATGGCTTCTTCCTCTGCACATTCCCGACTCTCGCCCATTTCCTGACATGTGAGAAGCACATACTTGCTTCTTTGACATCTACATAGCTCAGACCTGTAGATGAAGTAAATCATTTTGATGTCCTTGGAGGTTGACCTGATTTGGAGCTTGACAGACACTTGGGTCCCCCCATGCACTGGTTCCTCTCCCCAAACCCTTGACAGGATTTGACCTCATCAATCATGTGGATTATAGAGAAGACGTAGGGTACTGATGTCAGCACTGACTCCCACATCTGATCCAAACAGCACTCTCAGTCCCAGCGTCCCAAGAGGCCACATCCGGAGCTCTTCGCCCTGAGCCGCCCGCCTGCAGCTGTGCTGAGATCCATGTATGGGGATAGCTATGTGCTTGGCTCACTGACAGAGGCCACCAGGCCCCAGGGACACTTTCCCACGTCACATGGTGACTTAAAAAAGCTAGCTGGTGTGTGGGCTGGGAAGGTGGCTCAGTGGTAGAGCACTTGCCTTGCATGCATGAGGCCCTGGGTTCGATTCCTCAGCACCACATAAGCAAAAAGAAAAA